TGAAGCAGAGATGGCTTTCAAGAAAACTGACGATGCTGACGAAGAGCTGGAACATGGAGAGATTTCTGTTGAGGTGGAGCATGTTGATGCTGAATTGCATACCCCAGATGAAGTCGAAGAAGACACAGAAGATGTCGAAGATGAGGAGACTGATAATGACTACCTTCTAGCAAGAGGCAGGTCAAGGAGTGTCATCAAGCCACCTCAGAGACTTGGGTATGCATATCTTATAGCTTACGCCTTAATCTCTACAAGTGAGGTTCTAGACGAAAAACCTAGAGACTATAAGGAAGTTATGAGGATTCGAAAGAAGACTAAATGGTTGAAGGTCATGGATGACGAGATGAAATCTCTTCATGATAACAATACCTGGGAACTGATCAAGAAACCTGCTAGAGCTAGGTTAGTCAGCTGTAAATGGATTTTCAAAGTTAAGGAAGGAATCGGAGGAGTGGCGTCGAAGAGATACAAGGCAAGATTGGTTGCTAGGGGGTTCACTCAGAAAGAATGTGTCGACTTCAATGATGTGTTCTCTCCTGTTGTGAAGCACAGATCCATTCGAATGTTGCTTGCCACAGTGGCACAGTTCGACCTTGAACTGGAACAGATGGATGCGAAGATTGCGTTCTTGTATGGTGATTTAGATGAAACAATCCTGATGAGGCAACCTGAAGGGTATGTCGAAAAAGGGAAGGAAGATTATGTGTGCAAGCTGAATAGATCCTTATATGGTCTGAAACAATCTCCTCGACAGTGGAATAGGAGATTCGACAAGTTCATGGCACGCATAAGTTTCATCAGAAGTCAGTTCGAGCACTGTGCTTACTTCAAATTTCGACCGGGTAATTCATTTGTTATTTTGTTGCTCTATATGAATGATATTCTAATAGCAAGCAACAATGTCGAAGAGATAATGAGGGTGAAGGTTGAACTCAATAAGGAGTTCGACATGAAGGAGTTGGGAGCTGCGTCCAGGATTCTTGCGATTGACATTCGAATAGATAGAAAGCAGTTGAAATTATGCTTATCTCAAGAGGCATACCTATGGAAGTTTCTCAAAAAGTTTGGTATGTCAAATTCAAAGCCTATTGTGACTCCGACAAACCCTCAATTCAAGCTGAGTATAGATCAATGTACCAACACTGATATTGAAAGAACTTATATGAATAGCATTCTATATGCTAATATAGTGGGTTCTTTGATGTATAGTATGGTCTGTATTAGACCCGACATAGCATATGCAGTAAGTCTTGTAAGCAGTTACATGGTGAATCCTGGAAAGGCTCACTGGCAAGCATTGAAGTGGATTCTAAGGTACATAAATGGGTCTTCGAATAGAGTCCTAATTTATGGTGGAGCCTTTGGTGAATATAGTAAAGCAACAAACGAAGGATATGCCGACTCTGATTATGTAGGTTGTATGGATTCCAGAAAATCTATTTTTGGATATGTGTTCACTATGTTTAGGAAAACAATTAGTTGGAAAGCAACACTTCAGAAGTTCGTTGCCTTATCAACTTTTGAAGCGAAATATATTTCCCTAACTGAAGCTGTGAAGGAAGCATTGTGGCTTGAAGGTTTTGCAAAGGAGCTAAAACTTCAAGGTCGAGTTATCACTGTTAAATGTGATAGTCAAAGTGAGATACACATGTCAAAGAACTCATTCTATCATGAGTGAACCAAGCACATTGATGTAAGGCTGCATTTCGTCAGAGGGATAATCGAGCGTGGAGAAGTCCAAGTGCTGAAGGTTTCGATAGATCATAATGTTGCTGATATGATCACCAAGACGTTGCCCAGTTGCAAGTTTTTTTACTGTATGCAGTTGATAAAGCTGCATGAAGAAAGCTAGTTTCTTGATGTTATAGAGTTAGATCCAAGGTGGAGATTTGTGAGATGTTTGATCGAACTCTAGTATGGTCGAAGGATAACTTTTGGTTCGACAGGAATTAAGCATGAGGTCGAAGTATGTTCGTATGCTGCTGTCGGAGTAATGCGTGTTGTAGTCGAAGTTTGTTCTAACATGCTGTTTACCGTGTTTTTTGGTAAACAACCTCTGGTCTATCAATTTGGTGTCAAATTGACTAACTTGCAGGATTGACCATACGAAATCCTAGGACATGTGCTAAAGGGTATTTCTATTTGAACCTATCTAAAAAATGTGTTTCGGTAATACCAAGAAGAAGTAATTTAAAAGGGCAGAACTATCCACTACGTTTAAAAGAGGGAAGGAGGAAGAATTACAGAAAGGAAAAGAGATGAAGGTTTTTTAGGAGAGAAAGACTTAGTCGAAGTAGTAACGGTGAACAAAAGGAAAGACGAAATAAATAAGTAAAAGTATTTGACAAAAGTAAAGAAAACAAAGTAACTTCATTAAAAAGATAAAGGATGGTGTATTTACATCACGTACATTCTCTATAATATTCTCTTTCTCTACACTCGGATACTTGGAGTAATTTTTAAGAGTGACTTGTACAACAGTAAATTACAACACACTTAAGTTTATGTCTAAGATTCCTATTTATAATAATAATAGTAACTACTAATAACCTCCTTAGGCCATCTATTTCTGACAAGTGCCACACCGCATGCAGTCATTTGTCCAATGAGCGCCACTTGTCCTTCTTAGTCATAAGAAAATATAACTACTTCCTCCAATATTTAAATTTCAAAACTCAATTCGTCCCCACTTCCAAATTTCGCTCGAAGGCTAATTCGCTACTTAGGTCGAAATGCCTAGTTCCAAGACTTCAATTTTTCTAAGTCCTTGGAGAACCTGTAGATCCTTTAACAAGCTGAAATAGCCTCAAAATATGGGTCGTCGAATTGGCGAGCTAACAAATTGCCCCCAAAAAATGTAGTTTTCGACACTACCAAAAGTACATTTTTTGACAGCATCCAATTTCGACGCTGTTTACCTTCGACTGTATCCTGGGTGTGGACCCACTTCAACTGCTTAGAGCTTAGGAAGCTGAAAGGTAATGGGAAAGGACATATCCAAAATCTCACGCAAAAAGGAACTGTTACGCCACCTTGATGCACGATCTCTGACGTCATGAACATCATGGCAAATTTCTCGAGAATCACCAAAATCGTGAGCCATCATTACTCCTACAGAGCATAGGTTACAACCGCCACCCCTACTAACTCATCCTGAGGATACATGTGGCCCACTAACCCCAGCCACTTATGAGGGGAAAAAAACTCTTGATTTTCCTCTTTCACTTATAAATAACTTTTCAAAACGTCTTTTTTAGTTTTACCTCCTCAATCTTTTTACAACATTTCCTCGCATTTTCTTCCCACAATCTTTTCTTCCAAGAACACTCCTTCAACTCTCATCATGGCTGAACTAAGGTCCCAGAAACAAAAACCCAGTCTCACAAACAAACCTCTTCTTCCATCCTTCCCCCTTTTGCTGCTCTGAGCGGCCCGAAGGTGGCGAAAAATCAGCAACTCGTTCGTGAGCCTTTACTGGAGGAGAAACGCCATATCTACGAATCCCAGGTAATCATACCCGTTACTGTTGCGAATAAATCATTGGCTATGTCTGGGCCTCTATCCCCCTTAGGTTTAAACTATTCCCATTTGAATGAGTTTTTTCCTTCTTACCGAAAAATAAAACAAAAAATTAAATCAAATAAACAAATAGAAACATATATCATACTAAAAATTATAAATAAACAAATATATATCATATTATAAATAAAACTTAAAACGGCAAAGCTTTTTGCAATGAACATACCGTACATCCACTATATCATTCTTTATACTATAGCTAATAGACATACACATTTATTTATTATGAAAAGTAACAATGTTCTAACGGCTAATAGACATACACATTTATAATTAAAAAGTTCCAAGCAGTATTAAATAAAAGTGGAAAGTAATAGTTAAAATTTTATTTATTATGATTTAGAGATTTTAATTTTTTTTTTGTCTTAAATAATTCTTATAATAATTTGTCTATTTTAATGAATCTATATTGTAATTAATGAATCTTATAATAGTTTTTATTTAAGAGAAATGCTAACTAGTGCCCAAATCTATATTTAATAAATGAATCTTATAATAGTTTTTACTTAAGAGAGATGCTACCTAAAGCTCGGACACTAGTTAGCATTTCCTTTAAATATATTTATAAATAATTAAAATTGAAACCCAGAACTTTGAAAGTTGGGTCTTGCAATGTTATGAAAGGGTTCTGCATATTTATATTTTAGCATAGGGTTGAGTCTGATAGATATGAATACAATCTTCCAATAAGCTTCCTTATTGATAAAGTATGAGTAGATGTTGCAAGACAGAAATAACAAAGGCAAGAAATTAAACAGAAATAGAGAAGTGCATATGGAATGTCCGTGTTTATTGATGAAAAAAAGATACAGAAGAGATAAATCTCTACTACCTACAAGAGTAATGCTCTACACAGAAACACAATTCTCTGGCCAAAGAGAAACATTTCTTGCACGATACCATCTCTCTCCACAAGTCCCACTTCATTTAACTGAACCACACTCACCCACTAATCCTCACTTTCTCTCCCTGCTATCTCATCCTTCTCTCTTTTCTTATTTCTCCTGACATAAACTCTCCATACTCTAGGCTCATCCTTTGTCACTCAATCCCATGTTAACCCTATCTTTACACCTTTCAAATCAACCAATGTTGAGAGCAACAATTAATAAACAGTAAATTTACCGTAATATAGCAAATCAACAACAACAATCAAGTTTTATTTTACTAAGTGGAGTCGGCTACTTGGATCGAATACCGCCATAATGTTCTCTATCCAAGAAAAACTACTGCTTTTCTACAATGTATGGTCAAATGCCTTAAAGCAACTTTTCTACATGAGAGCAATGATGCATGAGAAAAACATTCTTCATCTTGCATCATTGTACCAAAACTCCTAATACATCTTCAATTAGTTTTGCAGTGCAAAAAGTAAATATGAATGATTTTTAAATAGCACTTTTGCTTCAACAAGTGAGACATTATATCTTCCTTATGGAATTTATGTATGTTATTGGAATCACTGATTTCAATTGCAACAGAAAAGGGCTACTGCAATCCTCAACAGAAAACACCTGAGGTGATACTGTGGCAATAAGCATGAAATTTTCACCATTCCCCACATCTATCTTGTACAGATCATGGAAAACTTTCTGAAAATGATTTACCAAATTGTCATAGAATGACTTACTTGGAGAAATAACATTAACCACAAGAATTCCAAGTTCAGAAAGAACTAATTTTGCAGCAAGTAGAACATTCTTTCTAACAAATTCCAAGGGTGGAGAACTTATACCATCTCTAATATCGCTTGAATCCAAATCGACCATGATAGCATCAAACTTATGAGCTACCTCACCATTCACCAAGTGATCAAAACCATAAAGCTCAGAATCAGCTTGGTAAGCTAGCTTCTTCATATATTTAACTGCGTCCCCAAGGATAAGATGGATAAATTCAGATTCTTCCAATCCAAAGTAGTTCTTTGCCACCTTCAAAACCTCCTTATCACTATCAACACCGATGACCTCAAAACCCAATTGAATTGCCAGAAAAGATAGCAAAGCCCCGCCTCCAACTCCAAGGCATAAAGCTTTTGGTCTTAACCCATTTCGAATTCGTCCATCTATAGATTGATTTATTATTGAAAGACTAGCCACCATAGGTGCCAAGTAAGGGTGAACTAAAACACGAAGATCAAGCATAAACTTTGCATTTTCAACGCATAAACTTTTTGAACTAAGATCCGACTCTGGAACAATAAGCACTTCTGTCTGAATCAGATTAGGCATCCTCTTGAACCTCAACCGCCTTCGAAACTCTCTTCGAAAACAATCATGATTTTGCGTTTCACTCTGAGTATCGATTTCAACATCTTCAATCAACATTTCACCAACATGAGAACTAATACATTGATGTATTGTTACACTAGAAAGCAAGTTATCTTGGTAACTCAAAATGGGTATATCAGGGATACCGTTTTTAAACAAAGATTTGGGAGACAAAGCAAGGAGAAGAGGTTTCGACCATACCTCGAAATCAAATCCTTGATGATGCAATGAACAATTCAATGGACGGTGATAAATATGATTTGAAGAATCGGAATCAGAATGAGGCTGGTTACCGATCAAAATGAAACGGGATATTAGTGGAGAAGTGAAGAGAAGTTGGAGATGACCTGATTTAGTAGAGAAGATCCAATCAGTTTCACGGCCTTGTGGAACTAACATAGCAGCAATGCGGGGTTCGTGAGTGGGTTGGAGTGGCGAGTCAAGAACAGCAACTCGGAGGAGAGAATGGTAAGAGGAGGATGGGTTGGGTATGGTGATGGAGATAAAGCGAGAAGGGGTTAGGGTTTCGAAGGTTGATACATCGAAGGCCATTGCAAACAGAGACGATCAAATTCGGCTCCTCGACATGTTGGCAGCCAACGCGTGGGGTGTTTCCTGTAGGCGAGCGGACTTGATGGAGTAGGGGTATATTGGTGGTAGGAGATGGGTTATCTTTCATTTGAGGATCTCATAGAGGTTATCCGATTTGAAGATCAATATTGATATCATATATTTCAGCTTATGAACGAACTATGGTCCCCTATATTAAATTAGTACTTCTACTTGTGCGATATATCGGACAAATTATAAATAAATATTGTATTTTTATAGTAAAATATATATATTTTTATATTATAAAATAAAAAATTACATTCCACTAATACAATAAAAACATATCTAAAAAAAAACTTTGAATAGAATATAAAACATAAATTGTCCTTTGCTTTCCATGCAATTGAACAAAAATATAAATAAATTCATCTTTGAGATTTGAAAGGAAAAAGAAAAAATATGAAAGAAAATGTAAAATTTTTTATAACACTCATAATGACATATAACCTAATTCATTATATATGTGTTAAAATTTAATTAAAATAACAATTTGAACAAACTTACACAATATACATATGTTAAAAGAGAATTAAAATAGCAATTTAAACAAACTTACATAATATTAATGTGCAGCAAAACCTTTCGAATTTGTAATTGGTGTAACAGACCAATTTTCAATAATTGATTATTTGTACTAATTAATTAATTTAATGAATTATTGGATCTATTTAATTTATATAAGTTAATGGATTTAATTGATTTATTCTATTTGGTAGAATAAGGTGAATTTACTAGATCTTCTCTAATTAATGATAAGATGAGATATATTGAGGAGAAATAAAAGAGAAGGATATATAAGAGAAAGTGGAAAGAAAAGGATAGAAATAGAGAGAAAGGAAAAAGAAGAGAAAGAAAGAAGGAAGAAGAGAGAAGAGGAGAAAATAGAGGAAAAGCTTGGAATCATCAGAACGACTTCTAACTTCCGATTAATCAAGGTAAGAGTGTGAAATATTGTTATCTTACCAATGTATGTGATTATGTATGTGTGTGTTTGGATTTGTGGGAGGTTCTCCATCATTTTCCATTTTAGGGTATAAACGAGTTTAATCGGTAGAATCGATGTTTGGACAGTTAAAATCTGGAATAAATGGTGTCGATTAGTCGAGGATTGTTAGACTAAGAATACTGGGAATCGTTGGAATTGAATCGGGTGATTTTGGGAGTTTCGGAGAGTTTTAGACAGTTGGGGTTTTGAAGATCGCAGACGTTCGCTAGCACCTTCGCTAGGCGAGCAGGTCGTGAGTATTCGCTGTAGCGAGCTAGTAGCGAATGGTCCCAGACTTGGACAAAATGTAGTTGACCCTCTTCGCTGGTAGCGAGCGAGGTAGCGAGGGGTTCGCTAGGCAAAGCCCCAGTGAGTAGGTAGCGAAGCCTTACAGAGCTTCTGTTTGCCTTCGCGAGCTTGTTCGCTAGGCGAACAGGTAGCGAGTGTTCGCTAGGAACTCGCTAGGCGAGCAAGCTAGCAAGTGTGACATCATTCTTATTTCTTGTTGTGTTCCCATCCAATGTTGATTGTTTGGCTCGATTGTGATTGATCTTTCTGAATGCATAGTTGTATGTTGTGGATAGCCGTATGGCGGGAATCCTAGATTATGGAATCGATTGTGAAATGTGGCCTTTTGGCATATATAATGCATTGTTTAAATTGATTAAAAATGCATGATGATTTATGATGAAGTTGTTGTCGTTTGGCATGATGATGTGAATGCATAATGATTTATATGCGATTGTATGTGAAGAATGCATGAGAACATATTGTGAATATGTGTGCATTGCTTGATAAATGTGGTCTTTTGACAAATATATGCATTGTTTAAATTAATTAAAAGTGCATGATGAACGTGGTTGAGTTTGTTATCGTTGGCGCGATATTGTGAATGTATATTGTTTGTATGCGATAGAATGTGAATGTATGATGATTGTATGAGATTAGATGAGATGAAAATGCATGAAAACATTATGAATATGTATGCATTTCAAGAAGTGTATGGAGTCATTTTGCATGTGAAGCATCATGATATACATTCTTATGCTGTGTGATTCTAGTGAGAATCTGTCATAACATCGTGTGCCCATGAGGGGTGTGAGCGGTGGTTACAGATGGTTGTGTGCCATGTGGGGTGTGAGCAATCCATAACATTGTGTGCCCATGTGGGGTGTGAGCAATGGGTGACCATTATGTGCCTAGGAGAGGTGTGAGCAATGGGTGAACATTATGTGCCTAGGAGAGGTGTGAGCAATGGTTCCAATAAGTTCCTGAGTGAACTTGAGATGATTGAGTCGGTACCGCATTTGCATCTGCATAGAGTCGTGGGTCGGTCTCTATGAGTTGCATTTATCATCATTAAAATTGTGATTGGTGAATAAACATAATTGTAAATGTTTATGTGTAAATGATGTGAATTGTAGAAGCATGAATGTTGAATATGCTTAGTTTAGTATATATACATTGTGATGTATATGTTGAATTTTGATGAATGTGGTGAGAATGTGGAATATGTGTATTCTGTAATTGTATATAGATATATAATTATATGCATTGTTATTATGATAATATTTCTCACCCTTCTGCTGGAATGATGTCCTATCTGACATCGTGCAGGTATCGAGAATAGAGTTGCTCGTAGTTGCGTGGTCGTTGTTGGTGTAGCCATTTAGTAATTTAGTTATATTGGGTCGAGTCATGCTCTGGTCATGTAACACTGAGATCGTTTGTTTTATATTTTAGAGATACATTATGTATTCTATGTTATGTTTTTATATTCATTGGAATATTATGATGTTGGTCTTGGTGCCTAAGTAATGTTGAAGTATGTGATGAATCTAAATATTCTGTTAAGAGAATTATGTTATAAAATGAATCCGCTGCTACATGCAAAGTGAAATTGTGAGAAGCATGATTATTTATTATAAGTGTTAATGAGCATGACAGGTGGTTTTGATGTTTCGAAAGTTATGTGTGACGCCCTTTTGTGAATGCATGAAAATTTACTCTGATTAGTCGTATATTTTCCGTGGGGTTTTGAAGGGTGTTACATTAGTGGTATCAGAGCAGGTCGGTCCATCCGGCCAAGTTGTCTAATGTTGGTTGTTCCCCTGTATGCGACATGTGTATGTAAACACTATCGATACATGTTTGTTGTCTAACCTTGTCTGCAGAAGTGGGAATGATCCAAGTGGGGGAGAAGCTAGTGCTTCACCAGGATGCTGCAAGCGTGGAGTTGTAGCTCAGTGTGTGGTTAAACGTTCTTATAGTTTGGTAAAGATGGTTTATGCCCCATTATGATTGTCGACTGTCTATTAACAAATTGAGGAACTGGTCACCCTTAATCTCTTGTTGATAGTAGTTGGGATTGTGCTGGATGGGATAGACGTGTCTTGTGAGCGTAGATGGCGTGAGTAGTGAATTGTTTGGAGTTAAATCCAGTGCTTAAGAATTGTTTTGGTGAGTCGGCACAAGACAATGTTGAGATGTTTAATTTTGATGGGAATTTTGAGTGTTAATGAAAGTGGGAAGTTGGCGATTTGCCGATTAATTGTGGTTGCCTAGAAGTTATCCTGACAAGATGGTGATACACAGCCAGGACGTGAAGTGGAGTTGTTATTGACTTAGTTACGGAAACTAGTCCGATATTGAGAGCTCCATATTATATGTCTATTTGGATGGTCAAGGAATTAAATTGATTGAGTAGTTTTGAGACTTGTGTCTGGTGTGTGTGCTACGGCAACAAATTGTAAGGTCGAGTATGTAAAGGGTGGATGGTGACTTCTGGTGATTATTAAAGTAAGAGGTGGAATACAATATTGATATAATTAGACCTTTAAACATTTTAAGAGTTGGAGATGTGTTGAATGGCCTTCTAAGTGTGAAGATGTTGTTTTCGTATTGTTGTCGTAACGGGAGAACCGTAACTCAGAATGACGCCAGATTAGAAGCGTTGGAAGCTATTACAATGCTCTATGTGATGGTGAAGTAGTTACATGGAATTAAGTTATTTATTGATGGAATACGTTTGGATGTTGTAGTGAGTGCGGAAAGTGCGATTCGTGTTTCCGCCATAACTCAAAAATTGAGTGAGTCAATGGTTGTGTATGTAACACCCCCTTTCTATACCCCCCAAATAATCAAATAAATCATTTAGGCACATATAAGAATTTATTTATCAGAGTATATTTAAAACATGGTACAAAAGAGGTATGTCACATTATCCATGAAATTAAAACATACAACACCTGCTCAACAAGATATGCAACAGTGGGGTAACTTTCAAAACAGAGGAACTTAGTCCTTACACCCACATCTCAATATTTAGAATAAAAGCGAAAAATCTAAACATTGAATCACAACCAGCATGTATATACATATATACATATTCACATCGTCCAATATAAGTCGTCAACATTATTCATGTTTACATAAACATGCATCACCAAGAATACAAATACAAATGTATTACCAAAAAGAGCCAAAGGCTTCCTAGCTACCCGGTGTTACATATCAGAGCCATCTGACCAAAACAATGAAGACACGCTTCACAAAAAGAGATCACCAGCATACATAATCTGCAATGCCTCAAGGGCACCAAAAAAACAGCAGAAGGGTGAGAAATATTATCATAATAATATTGCATATAATTATATATCTCAATAAAACATATACACATATCCCATTCTCACCACAACTCTTCATCCCACCTCTCATATACATCGCAACGTGTGTGTGTGTATATATATATATATATATATATATATATATATATATATATATATATATATATATATATATATATATATATATATATATATATATATATATATATATATATATATATATATATATATATATATATATATATATATATATATATATATATATATATATATATATATATATATATATATATATATATATATATATATATATATATATATATATATAT